AAAGAAAAAAAAAAGGCACAAACAAATGCTTTGGATCCGCCTCCTCTTGTAAAGATAATTATGGGAGAGAAAGCAATTTTGAAACAATGGATGGCAAAGTGCAATGCTCAGAAACTATAGGGCACAATGTATTTCTCCAAGGCTACCACTGAAATCCACCCCACGGTTCACTGTTGCAATATTCCTGTTCTCTTCCCTTTTCCGAGCTATGTACAAAAACTTGCTTCCCAAATAAATTATTTAGCCCCTGACTGCTGCAATGCACAGCAGGACGCCTGTCAGAGCAAAGTGTTACTAATGGAGGATACCACACATGATCCAAAAGGGAAGATGAGTTCAGACTGCCGCAATGCCTTACTGAGAATACAGCAGGGGCAGTGAAACCCTCGCTCGATCAGCCGCCCAGAGACACTGCAAAACCACACAGCACAAAGCAGAGTGTCTGTCTGTCTGTCCGTGCCTTCTCAGGAACAGCCTTCTTGTGCCAACAGCTGTGCCAAGCGAACTGGGATCACTCAAAGGCTCTGTTAGAGGATTGCAGGGCAGCCATCAGTCTCGTCTGTTCATTCAGACTTCTGGGACTCGGTCAGATGCTGACTCTGCTCCTCATGCACCCAAAGCAGCACACTGGTTTGGACCACCCAGTTATATCCAGCAAATCCACGGGGGCACTGCCCTGCCCACAAGCTCACAATTTGCTTTGCATAAAACTTTAACTGCTGGGGCTGGCAGTTAAAGTGTAAAGATGTGATTCTCACGTTCCAGGTTTCATTTGCAGAAAGCTCTGTAAAAACAGGATTAATAAGATGGGTCTATTGACTTATAAATGAACAACACTTTCTGTGGTGCCTCTAAAATAGTCAACAGCCCCCGCCCAGTCCTGCAGACCATGCAAAGTAACAGGAAGTCTCTTTGAGATAGAGCAGTCACAAATAATTTAAAACACACAAAGAAAGGCCTTCTGACATACTGATACTTATGGGTAAAAGCCCCTCAGCAGACTTCTTCCACGTCCCCTGGAAGATGTGATGAGGATCATATGGATGATGATGTTCATATGGATCATGTTCATGAAGTGAACATGTGAGGGCACTTTAAATTCATGGGGTTGTCTTGGAAATGATGACATTTTAAAATACATATGCAGTGCTCCTTTCTGATGTTAGATTTCAGTTGTAGGAAAAACAGCCAATTCTCAAACCGCTTCCCATGTTCAGAAGATAAGAAAAAAAAAAAAAATAGCACGAATGAAAATTAAAAGCCAAGCATTTGGGAAATGGCAAAGAACTCAAAACTGAAACTGAAAGAAAAAAAGAGCTGACACCATGAGATTGGTGATAAAACAGCTGAGTGCAGATAACACCAAGGAAGCACAGGACACAGCAGGAAAGACCAGCCTCCGAGTTACACAAACACAATGTCCTGTGGGGATGCTTCCAGCTCCTGCTGCAGCCTCACAGCATTAGCTCTGCCTGCCTCTGTTTGGACATTGATTCTCTGTAGAAAAGCAGAAAAACCCTGAATGTGAATAGCCTTCAACCCACAGCCAAGCTCTTATCTGACATACCTTTATGTATGTACCTTGGTTCCTGGTGCAGAATCCAGTAAACAGTCTGCAAGATAAATATTGCTGATAGACACAAGCTCTGCACCAGGGCACAGCAGTTGTGCGCAATCAAATGACTCACTCGGGCCAATCTCCTTAAACACCGGTTTACTTGATCTCTGTTACTGAGAGGCCCAGAAAACTGACTTTTCCATTGGACTTGTGCACAGCAAGAGACTTGAAGGGCAAGGCTCAGAGCAGAATAATTCAGGAATTGACAAGAAGCAAGGAAGCCACACAAAATAAATGCCACGTTTTAACTTAAAGCTGTGAAATGATCTGTATAAACAGCAGACACTATGGACAGCCAGCTGAAAAGCGGTGCTGCTCCTGGTCCTGGATTTCCTCCTCCATCCACAAAGATGTGACGACATTAACCTGTGAAAATGCATGGGTGTTTTACACGCCCTCCCTGCACTGTCTGAACTGATAACTGTCATCTGTGCTTCCTGTAGGTGAGCATGAGAGGGCAGGTTTATGAACATTTCTGCAGGGATGTGGCACCTCGCACTTCAGGCTTAATAAGCAGTGCCAGGGGAATCGCCTTGGGTCTCTTTGATGCTGCATGGCAAGAGAAGCCCCATGTCTCCCACTTTGCTCTCCAGCCCATTGCTGGCTTCCACAAAGACCCATCCTCTTCCAAGCTCTGCCTTGGGCTCCTGCATAGGCAAATTTACACAAGGTTGAGTTTGGATTCCGAGAGCTCTGTCTGATAACTGCAGTGGCAAAGTCACCAAGCTCCCAAAAAAGTAACCCCTTATTTATCAGCACCGAGGTATTTCTGAAACGAGAAACCCCTCTGGACTGTTTTGCACTTGGCTCAAGCCACTGAATCAAACTCACTGCCAGACTCTCCTGTATCACGTTGCTCAGCTCTGAAAGACTCTTAGAAAAATGAGGACTTTGGTGCTGTGCCACCCAGAAACCAAAGGAAGCTTCCATGAAACCAGCAAACACCTCTTACCAACACTGTTAAAAAAACAAAGCAAATCAAAGAGGTTGTAAGAGGTTGTACAAGTCAGCCTATAAACCCAGGCGTGAGGAGAGCGGTGTCAGTGGTAATGGGGCAAGAAAGGCAGGGTAATTACACCACACCAAAATTGCAATCGTGCTGCATTCCTTCTTGGTGAAGGCCAGCTGAGAATTAGATACACCTCTTTAAATCATCACAGGGAGTGGCTGCAAGATACAAGGTGCTGGGATTAAGATGATGTTCTGGGTTTGCCAGTTCTCAGCAATGGCTTTGGTGGCTGGGCTGGGCACATCATTAGCTGTTCCCAAATGGTATTCGCACCGTGCCACTTCTTTTTAATCTTTATACATTTCTAAGTATTTCAGGAGTGTCAGGTTCCTACTGAGCAAAAGGTTGCACAAGCCCTGAACTGGATGGCAATGTCTGCCCATGAAGGTTTTTGTATTTGGACAACAAGTCGGTCTCAGTGACACCTAAGTCGTAATTATTTCAGTGGAGCACAAATATTTGTCACGTTGTCTCAGCTACCACCACCAGCCCTACAAGCTCAGCCCACGGCTGAGATGAGGCAGGCAGATCTCTTCAGCTGGAGAAAGCTTCCCTAGAAGAAGCCACAGCCATCACAGCAGCACTTGGGGGAAACGCCGCTCTGGATGCCTCACTCATCCCTGGTTTCAACGTCCTGGGCTGCTACAGGATGAGAAGAGAACCTGGCATAGAAACAGAAGCACACAGACCAGTCAGTGCCTGAAAAACAGAGCAAGGTCCTCCCCCCTCATAGCTTCACACCACAGGTTGTTCCAGGCACTCCTTCCAAGGCCAACAGAACAAACACTGCATTTGTGCTCACTTGTGGAAAATGCGCCAGAAAAGACAAACACAAGGCAAAGCAGCTAGCCAAATGGCCAAGTCCTGTCACTTAATTATTCCAAAATAAAAACAGTTACACAACAAAGACATAATAATAATGACCTCTCTCCTCGCAAGAACTCATGGCACAAAGGACAGGCTGGCCTGATTTTATGTCCTATAAACTTAATCTTATCCAGTGAAGTGGCTCCCTGGACAGCCGAGGAAAAGATGATGAGTTATGATAAGAGCTCTTTGGGCATTGTGCACCACTGTACGCCAACTAAAGATGAAAAAGCATATGGAGCTTTCTCTTCGCTCTTAGGCCAGTCACAAAACAGCACAGTGCAGCTGAGGGCAGAGGTGAGCAGCTCAAGGGAGCTGACAAAGCCATCGGGTTTATACCTCTGGTTCCTCGCTGTGGTGAACTCACAAATGCAGCTGGCTCACCATGGAAAGCCAACCATTTCTCACGTGTTTTGGCTGTTTATGGACTCAGTCTCCTGGCTGTATTTGAGGAGAATCCATGTCCAATTTCCATGCGGTACGGCTGACACCCAATGTTTTGGCATGAAGAAAACGGTCTGGTGGTTTTCCAAGGGCAAGACCTCAGCCACAAGGATCCTGCTCTTGCGTGCCCAGCTGTGCTGGTACAGCTGAAGAAGCCAGGGCTTCCATACGTGACATCCAAAGAGACTTATGCGCAAACATAAGCTCTGATGAGGCACCTCCAGCTGGGCATCCGGAGATGAAAACATCCCCAAATTAGTGGACGCTACTGAAAAAGTAACCAAGCATCCGCACAATTGCACAATCTTCACTTACTCTCAGTAGCTTTTTATTTCTTGAATGGCATCACCTAGCGATTGGGAGCGTTTCCCAACAGATACGCTCGGTCATATTGAAGCCCCAAGTATTGCAATGACTGAGCTTCTTCCACAGCACATTAGGAGTAATGAGTAATTAATCCTCACGGCGGCGGAGGGATGGACGGTGACATTCATCCACCCGGCCCGGCGCGTACGGCGGGAGACAGGAGGCACGTGCACGGTTCCGCGTGACGTCGCCAGAAGGTCGTTCACGCCTCCAAATCCTAAATGCGAGGAAGCCAGACCAGACCCTCACCCCCAGGGCCCTAAGCCCATCGGCTGCACCACCACGGCGCTCCTTCGGGACGCGTCACTCGCGCTGCGGTGAAGGCGAGGGACTCCTCATCCCGCCGCGTCTCTCCGCCGCGCCGTCCCACGCAGCTCAGGGCTCAGGACCGCTCCGCCTCGGAGCGCTCCCCATCCCGAGGGGCGCGCGGCCCTCCCGCCGCCCCCTCCCCGCCACGGCCTCCCCCGGCCCGGCGCCGCCCCCCGGCCGCCCCCTCTCCCCGCGGCTCCTCCTCGGCGGGGCCGAGACCCCGCGGGGCCGGGGCTGCGGCCGCCCCTCCCGCC